GAGAGGGGGGGCCAGAATTGGATTGGTACATATCCTTCAACGGATGTTTATGTTCGTTCCTTTGGTGTCCTAATGTTTGAAACCTCCATGGGATAAGTTGTTGGCGATCGAAAAATACTATCCTATCGGAAAAAGGTAACTTGAGTGGGAGATGGGATGGGAGAACTTATGCCATGTCTCATTGGAAATTGAACCCGAAACTGATTGATATGCCCATCAAGCTGACAATTCAACTGTGACAAAGTTCAAAAGGGGTTGACATGGGCTGTTTGAGTGGTCATCAGCAAAAATCTCAGATATTGACCCCTACATTTCAGCAAACTGCAATTTGTCAAATTATTGTTTTGAGTTAACCAATCATATACAGCTATAACCGTGCCACGCGCACTCACCATTAGTGAGTGCGCCCCACTGTAAAGAAAATATCACTGTAATGAAAATCTTCTTGGATCATCAATCTTCAAAAATTAATTAATAGTCAACACCATGCTTATCTATAATATAAAGATTATCTATATACTCATTAGAGTTTGTAGAATCTCTGATAGATTGAGATTCATTAATAATATCACATTGTGATTGGTTGGCATTTGATTTGAGGACTTTGATCCCAACTGACTATAGAGCTCTATTCCTCTCTTTTATTGATTCCTCTTGCTTATGATGCTTGATCTTGCAATTGGCATCCTTGATAGTAAGGACTCCCCCTACCTGCACCTGCCTGTGACTGTTTTTGACAATTTAGTATCTATTCATTAAATGATAAGCAATAATTTATTCTCTTAATGTGCATTCAATTTTATCTATATCAGATTTCTTTTGAAGATCTTATTTCATTATTAGGTCAGATCAGATGTCAGAGTGCTTTTCACCTTTTGTATGATCTTATTTGCTGCCTTGATTTGATAATGTAGTTTTATAACTATATTTGAAAATGTCAACTGAGAAGATATAATAAAGAATTAGATTTTAGAAGATAAAGTAAAATTAAAATATTTATCATTATCATTATCATTATAAACAAGCAGCTCTGAGCTGTCATCTATATTATATTATCTTAAATATTGAAGAATTATTTTTTATTTGATTAAATAGATTCTATGATCAGTAAATCTAGCTCTAATGATAACAGGTTTGAAGATTTAATAACAGATACTTTTTAGATTAGCAAGGAATTATCTTCTATCATATTGTTCATATCTGTATTGAGTAGCTTTGTTAATTACTTTTGTATAATAATGCTTATATTGCTGAAAAGATACATCATTAAGAGATTGTAAAATGACTTATATAAGATAAGAATTCAAATACAATAATATTATAAAAGTCACAATATTGAAGAAACTCTTCAGTAAGGTGAGATTCATAATTGTCAAGCAGTAGTAATTGATGATTTGATATTTTTTAATGACAGTATTAAAATATTTTATTCATTTAAATTCAATTTCATCATTAGTGAAACTAGTATTAGATATAGTAATGATATAATCATTAAGTAGATTGAAGTATATATATTAATCTTTTAGATAAATTTTTGATTTTATTATAATTAATAACTTCAACACTGCATTATCTGCACTGATGCATTCCACTACTGTTATTAACTTACAAGAATATGATGATTGTATGATAGAATTAATACCTTGATAGATAATTATAACTTATTATCCATACTCTTCTCTATTTTAAAATTCAATCTTATTGAAATTATAAATATCACTGATATGAAACTTATACTGATTGAAGACAGATTTATAGCAATCAAATCAGTTAATAATAAAGCTTATATTCTTATTTGACACCTGTTTTGATTTCATAGATTTCTGCTTGATCTTTTTATAACTTGGCAGATGTTTGATAAATTGATACACTCATATCTTACCTATAGTAAAAAGAGAGGTGTTAGAATTGATATGATAATAACTTAGCATTTAATTTGCAGCAGCTTCAATATGTTTAACTGTAGAAGAGCAAAAGTTTTTATTCAATTGATGAATCCACTTCTTGATCACTTCCTTCTGACTGTCACTCAATGTTCAATTGATTGGAGTCCTCATATTCCTTGATCTCTTTCCTTTACGGCGTTCATACAGAGTTTCATATAAAATTTTGAATTCTCACATCACATCCCTGATTTTTAAATTTGGATTTGATTTTATGGTGTCTAATGCCATCTAAATCTGATCTTCTGAATATTTAATATTATTAGGCATGGTGGTGGTGATTACTGATTTTTGAAGATTGGTGATGAATATACAAGAAAGAGATTTTCATTACGGTGATATTTTCTTTATCGTGGGGCGCACTCACTAATGGTGAGTGCGCGTGGCACGGTTAGTAGCGAACCGTCGAAGAGCAGTATAGTAGCCAACAAAGGCATCAGTTCCAGCAAGACACCGATCGGATATCCGTATCGGAATATAAAGCTCAATGCTGCATGGTTCCCATACCTGCGCTGTTCCTAGTTAACTATAAATTGGGAGAAGGTTTCCGGGAATTCAGATAAAAATTCACTGACATTAATAGCTTGGCTATTCGTCACTGCTGAAAGGTGTCCGCGCTACCCAAGGGACTGTCGGTTGATTCCCTATATCATATAGGATGTGTTCAAGTTCATCCAAGATTGAATGATATGTGGCCATACCACAAAAGTTCAGCCAGTAACTGCTGAAAGATCCAAAGCAATAAAAAAGCGCCCATAACATATGGCTTACATGGCGGTGAAATTTGAATCAAGTAAAATCAAAGAAACCTGGGGTCTCGTAGACACCAGCTAGTCGCCATATTCATCCACAATCCACTGGCAGAACGTCTCCCACGATTCCTTCCAAGCTCTCATTCTCTCCGCACGGATCCCAGAACCATTGATCCCCAGTTCAATGTCCTGTAACCACTCCTCCTCAGTCTGGTCCTCATAGATAGCCCAGCGAACACTATTCTCAGCCAGAGATCCCAGCCCAGCAAGGCCCAGATTTTCCCACGCCTGCAACACCTCCCAGAAATCATGCGACATGCCTGATGTGCCTTGGCCCAGTATCGCCGGGTCGTCGTTGCTGAGAGAGGCAGAGACACCTTGAGCAAGGAGGGCCGGTAGAGGATGGGCTAAAACTGTCGACGTTAACCGCAGCACTTCGTTTGAAATCGGACAGGTTTCCAGAAGGATTTTCTTCTTCTTGACCATATCAATCAATGTCGGATGTTTGTAAAGCGAGAAACCGTGTCCGATGCGCCTGGTGCTGAGCATAATGGCATCAAAGAGATTCTCATCCGTACTATCGCCGTCACCGAGACATTCCCCCGCGTGGAAAAAGAAGGGGATCTCAAGATTCTCTTCATCGCATTTCTGCCGGAACCATAGCAACTCGGGGGTTAGGTCCTTTAGAGTGCGTCCCGCGTCTTCTTGGCCCACGAGATCGTACCCTGCGATTAAATGCGGATATGCCTTTTTGGCTCGTATGCAATTTTGCATATCTAGTGTTTTGTACAAAGGAGAGAGAGTGAGTGAGACACGCAAAAAGATGGATATTAGCTGGCCGACTGGAGTAGAATATAGAATTTGAACATACTCTGAATGATATGCTCTGGGCCATTTGATCTCACGGCAGTCCATATAATGCGGCCTCCCCAAAAATTCTTGCCCTCCTTGGTTGCTTTAAACTTCTCAATCTCTTCCCCGATAACTCGCACCATGTCATTGTAATCTTCAGTCGGATCGTCCTCACCCTCGCGCCGGTATGGGGGTGTAAATGTATCCCTCAATTCTACCCACTGCACTCCATCTTCTGCAATTGTTTCTAATAACTTCCGGATAAAGGCCCGAAGAATGGGCTCATAATAAATAATCGAACCCAGGATGATAAAAATGGATGCAAACTTCCTCCAAATAGCATCGACTCCAAGATGATGCTCAAGAGACTCTTTCTCAATGATGGATGTCCGATCTTTCAGCCACGAGATAAACCCCTTCCGGCCGCCATCGGGGAATGTATCCGCAGCCACATTGGCATTAACCATCGTGCCAGGCTCATACTCCGACGCCCAGACAGAAGCAGAGGCTTTCGGAGCAGTACTGGAGTAGATGAACTGAACCGCAGCTCCTTGACGGCTACTCTCTGAATCCAACGGCAGCGGAGAGTAAAAATACATCCCCGGTGTTGCCAGGGTCGTCTCGTACAGCCAACCAAGATCCACAGATGCTTCCCTGTGGCAATGGAGGAGCGCACCCTTGGGAATTTTCTTGGCAATTTGCCATAGCTTGGTGGATTCCATACGTTTCTTTGCCAATGTGAACATCATTCCGGGATACAACTCCTCGTCGCCTTTATCATCGCAAGCTTTTCTCCAAATCTTGTTCTGTTCTTCATACCGGATTCGGCGAACGATGCTACTAGCTTTTTGGGCCGTTGGTGACAGGGAACGGCGGAAATCAGCATCTAGAATGTCATGTCGCACGTATCAGATTACCAGCGATTGTTGTTGGATGTTTCATTCTTTTCAAAGATAAAATAGAAAAAGAAAAAGAAAAAGAAAAAGAAAAAGAAAAAATGCGGATCGTTATTGGATATAAAATAGCTGACCGTTGCGGAGTTCCTTTTCTTGCGATATCAAAGCCTGACGGTCGTGAATGTGTTTTGCGACTGATGGACTGACGTCGTCAGGAATGCAAGCTGGAATGCTCCCCATGTTGAAAGACAGAAAATATGAAAATATTAGTGTCAAAATTCAAAATTCCCACCAGTTTAAATAACCAGGTCGAGCTATTATCTCCTTTTCACCTTTCAAACTCTTTAGTGCCAACATGCGATCATGAACCACGCTGCCAAATATGAAGGCTTGTTTAAAAGGAACGCAAAAAATGGATAACAAAAATGTTCTGTAGGCAGTCGCTCATTATAGGGACAAAGCTGAAAAGGGGGAATTGAGCTGATTTTAAAGGCTTCTTGTATTGGAGACTAGAAGCCTGGTCATTTAAACAAGCTCAAACGGCCTTGATTCGACGTTTAGTTTAAGGCAGGCAACTCCGCAGGATTAACCAGAAAGCTCTTCGCGCGGGAGTCAAGTTCATCTGCAGAATGCCTAAAGAAAGATGTAGCTGGGTCCCGCATTGGGGTCAACAGGGATTTTCTCAGATTGTCTTTTCTTTGGGCCGAATTCTGGCGGTTGGCCGGCGAGTTAACTGCCGCCTGGAATGTTACGAGCATGGCGGTTTGCTCCTCCGTGAGCAAATTTGGACGATCGTCAAGTGTTAAGCCCGAGTGCAGGCGGAAGGGCGGAGACATTCCGGATAATTGTTTTGAATTATGTTAATTTATATGAAGTATTAGTGCATTTAATTTGCCATTTGGTGTTCGGGGAGGTGGCTGAAAGTATCGATACGATTACAAAGAACCGGAGCAAACTACTTCCCCAGCAGCAGGTAATTTACAACGGATGCTAGGACAAGGTTAAGGTAAATTGTTCGGTGGGCGACTTAGCTTGAATCATGGTTAACTTCAAACGTTCTTTTATCTGTCTAATTCCACTCAGGACTTAATGGGCGCCGAAGCTGTTTTGCACGGCTCTATATTTTAAGTTCACCGCTGTCGTCACTCTCTGATCTTAAACTTTAATGTCGAAATTTAATCTTAGTTGGGGGGTTTGTCCTCAGGAAGCTTTAGACTCACGACCAAGAAATCGATAAATCAAAATACAATGATGAAAGACTGTATGATCTCACATTCCGTCAAGGGGGATGGGGCGAAAATGATGGGTAATTCGAACCTATAAAGCTCTGCCGGTCTGTCTGGCCACAAAATATATAACTTGACGAATAAATGATTATCTAATTCTGGTACGGAATCATCCCCACATTTCTGCTATACATCTGATCTAAAAAAGAAATATCTTTCAAACACACCTTGAAATCATGTCTGGTATCCAAGATCCCTGGAACACCGGCAAACGCGCCCAGCAACAGGAGTCGCAGAGCAGGCGGTCGAGCAGAGGTATGCAAGGCTCCCAGGCATACGACCAAGGCGATGTTCCTCCCCCCGAGGATTTTGACCAGCAGCCAAGTCAGCGCTACGGTGAGCAGCATCGACATTATGGGCAACTTTCCGTAGGCCGCAGTCCTCAGCCGTTGCCGACCCAACAGGCCCAAGGCCGCCCGCGATCCCAGGGTTTAGGACTCCATGGAACAAAGGAGTCTGACAATTTGGAGGATCCGCCTCAGCTGGGAACAAGGTCTCAACGAGGGTCGCAGTCGACGGAGGCTTCTGATATCACCACGGAATCCAAGGATGCCGGTGACGAGGAGGGTGGCAAGTCAGGTTAGTTACTTTTTAGTTTTATTTTTGTTTTTATTTTCTTTTCGACTTTCCGCCGCTTTTCAGGCACACCATTGCTAACAATATGTAGGTAGCATTTTTGGCAGGATTGGTGCTAAGATGGATGATAAGGTGTCTGAAGCGAAGGCTAAAGTTAAAGATATCCGCTAAATTGACTCGGGAAGCATCGGGATGCGGCAGAGCATCTGAAACATAAAAGTGCTTGAATTCGGTTTGGGGAGTAATGATTTTATGATCTTGCCTTTGAAGTGTCTCTTGTATGAAAAGAGCTAAAGGTGTGATGTCGTTCCTGTAAGTTAAGGAAAATAAAAATTGATTATCCACCAGTGAAAATTGAAATGCTGTTAAGCGCTCACTCCCATCAAGAAAAGTTCCAAGAAATGTATGGCTTGGGTAGGACCCCGCCATTTCCGTGATGGCTGTTGGTTTGATTTTAACGAGGTAAGATATATACGGCAGCGGTTGGGAGCCAAAAATATTTATATACACAAAATATGCAAAGCATCTATTCGTTCGACCATTCAGGCTTCTTTTTTTCAGCGAAAGCAGTCATTCCTGTAAAGCCTACGTTAGCGGCACCACCTCCCAATATGAAAGGAACTGGGAATGAGTGATTAAGACCATACCAATTTTCTGATCTTTACTGCCAAATAATCCATGGAATAACCGTCTCTCAAATTCAACTCCTTCCTTCAAGGACAACTCCTGGCTCTTGTTGACAACCTCCTTCGCAGCAACGACTGCGACGCGACTGTAGCTGGCAATGGTACTAGCCGTCTCGACTGCGGCCGCAACTAGCTCATCCTTGCCTCCATCAGTGACTTTCGCAGCTAGGCCCCACTCACCTGCCTCTTTTCCACTGAAGTTCCTGCCGGTAAGGATGAGTTCCATAGCTCTGCTCTTCCCAATTGCTCTCGTGAGACGTTGGGAACCTCCAGCACCGGGAATGGTTCCAAGTTTGATTTCTGGCTGGCCAAAAGTTGCGTTAGATGTGCAGTAGATTATATCGCACATCATTGCAAGTTCACATCCGCCGCCTAGGGCATACCCAGACACGGCAGCGATGACAGGGGTACGAATGGTATTCGCAAGGTGCGACCAGGTGGCGATAAAGTTGTTTGAATATGCAGATGCAAAAGTGAGAGGTGCCATTTCCTTGATATCCGCGCCAGCTATAACCCGTGAGGTGTCAGAGCTTGGGAGTTGAGATTGATGACGAGGAAGAGACTTTAGCAAAGGAGTTACCGGCAAAGGCCTTTTCACTGCCCGTAAGGACTATAGCACCAATATCCTTATCCTCATCGAACTTGGTAAAGGCATGGTTTAGTTCGCGGAAAAGGGGACTGCAAAGTGCATTGAGAGCCTTTGGTCTGTTAAGAGTGACTATATGAAGCTAGCTGGTCAGATAAAATATCATATCATACTTCTAGACTATGTTGAAATGACACCTCAATTGCAGCTAGGATGTGTTTAATACATACTGAGGCCAACACCCGGTTTTGGTGTTGAGGTGAGGATATACTCATAAGCTGGTGAAGCGATGGAATATAGTCTGCTGCTTCTCACATATGAAGCAAGGGCGGCTGCCGCGGTGCGGGTAACAAGCCTCTCACATCGTCTAGCAAACATCTTGGGCAGTGGGGCTAATGGGCAATTGTCTAAACTTCATCAACTGATTAGAGCAATTGAAGCAGCAATTGATAGACCTGGGCTCTCTTGTCCAGGTAGTATTGTAGTATTGTGGTGGGTTCGACGTTAGCTTTTTAATTAAACTAAATGAATTTAGGTAGCTGGAAGATTGCCAAGTCGCGGAGTCTTGTTTAAGGTTTATCCGAAGCCAGCCGAGAACTAATTACGTCACGTGCGATACTATAGAGACTAACCTCATATTGACTAGCGCAGCCTCTCCTGTGGCTTGACGCTGATGTGGCTTTTGAACCGCCGGAATTTCAGCCACCTGTTTGAATCGTTCTTTTGTTCTTAGGACCAGCTATCAAACTTTCAACGACGAACTACGGATTTACATATCCTATCTATCATTCAACTCCCGCCTTTTAATAAACCCTTTTCGTGTGTGAATTCGAGAGCCCGTTTTGGTCCATGTCAGATATTTCCTCTTCTGTGGATTTGTGATACCTTCTATTCGATTCTCCTCCGGTAGTTCGGCACAATGGATGTATCCGACCCTGATCAGACCCCTTTTACAGCCGTGACAGCGCACACTTCACGGTTGACGAGAGTAGGTGTTTCTTCAGCCAAGTATATCGAGATGTTGCCCATTATTGTTATAATGTTTTAGCAAGCCTTGGATCTAATACGTATTCCGTTTCTTGGCGTTGTTTGGCATGAAAGTAACTGATGTTTGCGATGTGCAGCGATATCAAGCTTATCTTGATGCCTTAACCCCTTACGCCGCCTACCGATGGATAGGAACCGGAGTTTTGCTTGCTATCTTTTTCCTGAGAATCATTATGGCTCAAGGCTGGTATATCGGTACGTCCTATCGTCCCAACACTACAAATTGGCATGGCCCCTTCCGTCATGCGCCATCGGCGGTTTCTGAGAATTTTTTTTTTTTTGTTCTTTTCGATATCGCAGTGGCCTATACCCTTGGAATCTATCTCTTGAACCTCTTCCTGGCCTTTCTACAACCAAAGTTCGACCCATCTCTCACTCAGGACGAGGGCCTGGAGGAAGGCGAAGACCAAAACACTCTCCCGACCAAACAGGACGACGAGTTCCGCCCGTTTATCCGGCGGCTCCCCGAGTTCAAATTCTGGCATTCGGCTACGAGGGCAATTGCAATCGGATTCCTCTGTTCTTGGTCTGAAATATTCAATATTCCCGTCTTCTGGCCCGTTCTGGTGGTTTACTGGTTGTTACTATTCAGCTTAACGAGTGCGTAAGCCCAATATATTCCTCATTGAACCTAGTTTTGGCCCACATTAAATCTGCGGGTACTGATATCCTCTCAGTGCGACGACAAATCCAACATATGATCAAGTACCGCTATGTCCCTTTCACGTTCGGGAAGACTAGATACGGCAGCAGCTGAAGTGAGGGTCTTCCAACCCCATATGATTCTTTAGCTCTTTAGAACCACAAATCCCCCGCTTTCTTTCTAGATAATTTTCACGTACGATCTATTTTTGGCGTGCCTACTCCTGCGGATAAAATGAATCTGCTCATTTCTGGCATTGAAATGGAATGGAACAGAACGGTATGGCAAATGGACATGACATGGTAATATGTATGTTTTATCCTTAAACGGCATCGGATCCATTTCCTTATTTTTTTTGTCTTCTGTGTATTAGAAGGTATAGGTGCGGCTCCTGTTTCGTTTGTTACACTGTTAAAAAGAGACCATTCGCGCATTTCATGAAGATCGCCCATTTTTTTTTGTTCTTCTCTTCTTCAATTTGTGACAGTTCACACAACCCCATCTGCAGTATTTTGCGGTTCCGGGCGCCACTCCGGTTGTTTCTATTTTTCACCTTTATTTTACACAATAGGTTGCGTCATTACGAACCATGGGCATACAGTGAGGACCAAGAGCGCAGGGGGAGTTTGTCAATGTTGTTGCCATTGCTTGCTTTAAAGGTGTATGAAATTTAACTGCCCGTGCATAGACCACTCTGCATTTTCGCTCTTGGTAGTCCTCCCCCCTTTTTTATCCTTCCACCTGCAATTATGATTGATTCTTGTTGCAACCGAGGTTTCTTTTGGACAGCTTGTAAAAACATACACATGCACATGCTTATACAATGGAACTACGGTTCATCAAAACCCAGGTTTGTCATGCGCATGGCTGATATAGAAGATCAGTAGCCTGTTTTTGAAGATGCATAGTCTTCGCTTGGAGGGGTCACTAAATGGCTGGCTTCTGGCCAGATTTGACTCGCAAAAGTCCATGACCGAGAACAGACAGTGCCCATAAGTTCGATTTACGAGTTTTCAAAGCCAGGACTGCGAGGGATCATGGGAAACTAGGTTATTCCACGTTAACTAACTTCATCCTGATTTATGCTGTATCAGAATCTTTGGTACAAAAAGCTTTTGGAAATACTCCCTTTGCATGTTTTGCTCCAAAGGCGCGATCCCGGGTTGTGCCTCATTATTTAGGGGATTTTCATTTGGCGACCTTCTAAAAGGGGCGAATGACTAAACAGTCCTGTACAGGGTAGGCAGACAGACTTTCGAGCGGGACTAATCTTTTGAGACAATATGTTCTAATATCGTGTCATATAGGAATGGCTGAAGAAATAGCTGTAAAAATCCAAAATAGAGTATGATTCAAATACAGAGCTATCGCTTTAAGAAAAAAAATCAGCAAGGCACAAGTGAAACAAGTTATAACAAGAAGAAACTCTTCAACGATTCGGCCCTCCCAAACCGCTAAGCTGTAAACGAAAATGGAAAGGGAGGAGAAGGAAATTCATCTCAAGTCAAACTCTCATTCTGGAGCCCGTGAAGAATTCGTATGGGTCGATCTTTGGCCGGGCTATAATGATTGCAACCACGTGTGCCCCTCGATCTGGTCCCGGATCCGAGTTTTAATCAAAATATTATTTCGCAAAGGAGACAGTATCGCAGTTCAATCCTGCTTTGAACAATTTCTCATGTATGTTCCTCTCTCTCTCAGTTCGGACGAGCCCCCGCACGATGCTAAAAATGAGAAAAACCACCCTGTTCTAAGCCGTGATTAGGTTCTGGTAGGGTGATTTCAGACTTCCTGACGTCGCCCGGTTCGATCTTGTAGTAGGCGGGGCGCTCGCAGGAGAGACAGGAGGACATGTCCTCGTCGCTGTTGGTGCCAAATCGGCGGCAGAGGAGGGAGATACATTTTGTCTGGCCATACCTGCGATGGGAAATCTGAATTAGAAAACAAGTGGAATTCTGTGTGAAAAGCAGTAGAGATATCGCTAGCGGAGGAAGGGCGTATGATCCCTATTAAAGAGTTGTGCATGATAGATGCGCTTCAGGACGGCGAGTAGTGCTTGAAGGCGTTGGTTTAGAAACGGGAAAGGCAATACATATATATTTTCTATAAAAAGGAAAGGGATCACTATTGAAAACTATATCATATTGCCTTTACTGTCGGAAAGCTGTTTGACTTCTGCTGTAACTATCGTCTGGCTGTAGACGGCCCCGCAAGCATAAAGGCTAGTTGGAGTTTCCAACGCACTCGTAGACGAGGTAATTGTGGTAATAAGTGATGGAGACCCAGATACCGGTTGCTGTCCCCTTTTGACCCCAAGGACAACACCCACGTCCACTCCAAGCCAAAGGCCGATGCAAACGACCGCAACGCCGTGTTAAGGAATATCCAAAGCCACCTAGAACGAGATGGTGTGAGGGCTTCATATCAAGGTCTCCAGAGCAAACCATGGACCAGAAATTGATACATCGGTTGGATACGCTGCCTAGGAGATTCTCTGCTGAGATAATGTTGCCAATTGCCCTGTGAGATGGAGTTATTGATATGAAGGGCAAGAAGCGCGCAATGAACAGGGAAATTCAAAACTTGCGAGTGTTGATGGACGCCGTCAAAATTTGAAACATCCTTCAAGTTCTATTTATTGGCCATCTAATTACTTTATATGTCCATCACCCGGTGTCAGCAGTGACAAAGCCAATTGCGGCTTGGCTCTTTAGTTACGTTAAGTTAGTTAACTACCGCCAAGTTCTGCCGACTATTCATCTTGAACTTTTCGCTTCTTAATAAACATAAGTTACTGGAACAACTGTTATCAGCAATCCCTTTACATGATATATGAATTTCAGGGTTATTGGTCTTACTGTGACTGTCTAGGCATGGCTGTTACCAAGAGGATCGAGTGCTTCAGAAGGGACATTACCGATGCTACTTGTTACCTACATGCTGATTGAGCATGAATCTTTCAACTTCTTTCTGACCATGGTTCGAACGCTCAGAAAATAATTGGTATCGGGCTGGAGATATGAGTGTTCAAGACTATTCGTTTTATATCAGAAAGCGATGGTGAAACTAAGCCAATCAAACTCTCGAATTTCCTTTCGGATTTTTTCTTATAAAACATTACTTATGAGGAGTTCAAGAGCCGTTTGCTCATGAAGCGAATTTTAACATATGGGGATCAGTTGGTTTCTCCAAAGAAGGGAATGAGTTGTTCTACCCAGTTTGTCAGAGTTGTGTGAGTTTGGGCCCCCGAGATAACTCGATTGATTGATCAAGCCTTGCTAACTGGTGTTGCTTTGACTTCCTTGACATCATCAGAAGTATCACCGGAACTACTATTCCCATCAATGAGGTGCTCGTCTCCAAAAAGGTTGTTCATATTTTCGAGAGATCTTCCTCGAGTCTCCCGGATGAAAAAGTACACTGGTTGGAAGTTAGATTATTGAGTCGTATAGTACGTAATAGGTGGAGAGTGGAGGTGATACCAAAGGGGAAAGCAGCAACGTTGAACACTGCAAACCAAATCCACGCCTTCCACCCAACTTTCGCGATTGCAATTGGTCCCGCGTACACGGTGAGAAACGCCATAAGCCATTGGGATGACATGCTGAGGCCGACACCGGTATGGCGGTGCCGCAGTGGCATCGTCTCGCTGACGTAGATGTACTGTGAGAGGGAAGTCAGTCATGCAGTCTCAGCTTTGCAGCTCTTTGCTGACATACAGGTAAAGGAGCCCAAGTTGGGCTGAAAACCAAAATCCAGCCAAACAACATAGCGGCAGCTGCTGAAGAAGTCGTCTTTTTCCCGGCGGCAAGAAGGCCTGTGAAAGCTATTATGAAAACAGATTGGGTGGCAGATCCCCAAAGAAGCCACTTGCGACGGCCAGACTTTTCACAGAAATAAGAACCTACGAAAACACCGATGGCGAGAAGGGTCGTTGCCCCCCCAGACAAGCAGGAAGATGTTTTCGCGGGAAGGCCGATGTAAACGTGGAAGATTGTGGTCATGTAGTAGAAAATCATGTTAATGCCCATCAGATACGCGACACCAACAAGTACAACACCGTCACGAATACGCCTCATTGCTTGCGTCGGAGACTTATCAAAGATGAGGTTGGACAGTTGGAGCTTCTCCTCTTTCTCTTCCCGCAACTCCTTCAAAATTTCACCTTGGACTCTCAAAGCAACCTCTTGGTCTGGGTGGAGCTGCTGAAGAACGTTCAGCCCTTCGTGGTCACGATTTCTGAGATAATACCATCGTGGAGAGTCTACAGGAAGCTTCCAAGTCAATGAGAGTATTTTACAACCGCCCCAGGGAACTTACCCATATTAGGCAATGTAAGGATGATGGTTAGCAAAGACCAGATAATCTGCAGTCCAACAGGAACACGCCAAACAACTTGGCCTCTTGCATGTGTGAATGCAAAGTCGCTGCAGACACGAATCTCAGCATGTGTCAATATTCACCAACAAGTAGTGTGCTATGAGATACTTACACCCAGTAAGCCAGCGTTGTTCCAGTGCAGGCAAAGCCCATCAAAATACCTATCAATGGTCCTCTCATGCTAGTGGTTGGAGTAATTTCAGCAATGTATACGGGCGCAGAGGCAACAACAATGCCATTTCCAATGCCCTGCGTATGAATCGTCAACTAAGTGACTATCCCTGAGGATGAACTCTTGAATATGAAAATGACCTACAATGATAGTGCGACCGGCAATCATTTGTCCCGAGGAATAGCTGGCGGTCGATATAATCGTCCCGATAATTTGGATAGCTGCTCCTGAAATAACCCACATTCTCCGCCCAACTCTATCACTCCAGGGTGAGGCGACGATACAGCAACCTAGCCATGAAGCAAGCAGAAAGGCTGCCACAATCATCGACATAGTAGTGGTAGATGGGTGCTATGCTCACATGAATGCCTCGAACTCGTTAGATTTGTTCTTTCCAATAGAGTATAGATCACACACAGTCTTACCTTCATTGCATCCTGAAACGGCGCAGTTTCCAGAACACCCCCCAGCACTCCCGCGTCCCACCCATATGACATGAAGGCCATCCGAGTGCCCCATAGAGCCAACGCTGGTCGGATTTTCTGGGACATGATAGTAATCCTGGAGTTGAGAATTCGAATGTTACGGAGTAAATGAGACGTCCAGCAGTGACGAGGAAAAAGGAATGTGTCCAACGACGATGAGTGAAGGGATTGTATCCGGAAACGCCATGAGGAAAAGGATGATGTTTCAAATATGCGAGGGGGAGAGCTGAAAAAAGAATGTGATGATCAAGCTCTGTGAATGAAATCGCTTTCCTCTCGCTCCCGGCAGAAACTGGGCCATCGATGCATGTTCAGACCCTCGAATCCCTGGCATGGCTAGATGCAAGCGAGCGTTCCGGAATAATTGAGGCCTGTAATCCTCGCGCATAGATTTCGAGAGCTTCATTTCCTCTCCGGATGCTTCCCGCCCTAGTTCGGACTGTCAAGTTTCCCCTACAGAATCCCGTTCCTCCTCATGTTATCCTGAGCAGTTCCCCCATGCGGCTTATCTGCTACTACGTATGTGATATCTGAGCAATTCTGCTTGACAGTGGCTGTGCGGAACCAGTCATACATGGGTATGGCCAAGGCTTTCTTCAATTGTGGAGCCCAGAGTTAAACTAAGGATATGACATATCAGATAGCGATCTATGACCCTGGGACTCGATTTCTTGTGAGTATGGATGCCGTATGCTTGAGAACGAAACAAAGTAAAATACAGAGGAAAAAAGGCAGAAAATCATTTCAGAGCCGCCTCAAAACTGACATGTCGGTCTTTCTACCCCGTACGTTGTCTTTATTTCTGTTTCGGTGTCCATGCGACACCACATTTTATGCAATCTCTATATCCCGCGAGACGAATTACTCTGAACTTAGGTTCAGAAAACCATTAAACTTTAACTAATTATCGCTCGGGAAGGCCAAAGACAGGATAGCGTGAAGACCAGCGAAAATCAGAGCAAAACAGAAAGTATCCGACTGAAAACCAATTGGGATCCTTCCCGGATACAGAGGTGGCATGAAACTCTTCCAAACCTGATGTCACCCTAGAACTAGTTTACTGCGCTTCTGCATTTTTTGGCCAACTAAATCACATGCTCCCTTTGCGCTTCTGCACTAATTAGTGGATACTGGAGAAACAGTATCAACTTCGAACGTGTTTTCATTGTTGATTGCGCTTCAAGGTACCCTTGTTGCTTGCGTGAGATTCCAGTGGGTCACATAATAATAATGATAATACCAATCTATCTGCTGGTTTGCGGAACCATCAGGGGTTTGAAATCACCCATGTCTGTGCTGATATTATTTTACTTGTCATTTTTGGGGATTTTGTGGAGACGAGGGTATGCAGAATGTGGTGGGCTACAATTGGCGTTTTCTTGAGAACTGGAAGAGCAAGTTGTGGGGAGGGGGGGCATTTATCTGTTTTACGTGGAGTTTCACCCCTTAATTCTTCCGCTTGCACGGACTTTGGAAACAATCCGAATCAAAATCTCGTCACATCAAAAGGGCATCTTGATATTATTCTGCCTGCTCACGCATTGGTATTTTCAAAACCTGGCAGCGATGTTGGTATCTACCGTCATTGCTGGCTTATCAGCTTCTTCGATATCAATTGGGGTTGGATTGGGTCTTCTTTCAGTCATCTTCTCTCGCTGCTTCTACAGACTCTACTGGCACCCTTTGGCGAAATACCCCGGCCCATATTACGCCGCTTGCTTTTCTCTGTCTGCGGCGATTATCTCTGTTCTGAGGAAGGAGCCCCAGTGGATACAATCTCTGGTGAAGAAATATGGGAGTACGGGAAGATCACAATCCCTCGGAACCGACTTTTGCTGGACTTAGGGTCTCTAATCATTTAATTCCTTGCAGACGATACCCCTATCCGAATTCAGCCGAATTTGCTGCTTTTCCCGCAACCTTCAGCCTTGAAGGAGATATACTGGGATCCCAAATGCAATTTGAAAAGTGGACTTTATGGTACGGGCGCCCTGGGGCCCCCGCATTTATTCACAACTCTCGATGGTGATGAGCATAGAGAGTTGAGGAAAGCACTTGCAGGGCCACCGGTATGAAGGCTCTTAAACATTTTTGACTCTAGAGAAGCTATTTTATTGACTTAGTCTTCTTTTAAGTGGACTATTGGTTCATTGAAGAGTAAGTGGGAGAGCAGATTCGACAATCAAGTCCAACTGCTTGTTAAAAAGCTGCGTGAAAAATCCAAGGCCAAAGAATCAGTTGTATTATCTGACAAAGTAGCGTGAGTTTAACAATCCAGTATTACCTATTTCGCGCGATTGGGCTAAAAGGACACCGCCGTACAGGGAATTTGCTGCCGACATTATGACAATGATTTCTTTCACCAATCCCTTTGGTTTCGTCAAAAACGGGCGAGATGAGCGTCATATTT